CCGTCACTAAACCCAGCTCTACGATTTGTAAACATTTAATTTAGCGTGACCACAACTCACCAGACAATGTGGGGGGGGGGGGGGGGGTGGGGATGGTAGTGATAGTGATAGAGAAAGAGAGGGGACTGTAAGGAGGCGCTTGCAGCTTGTTTTCTAACGGCTCCCAGAAGAGAATTATATATATAGATAGATTCCCCAGTGAACGATAATCGAAAAAGTCGACACTTCAGAAGTAGCAAGCATTGAATTGTTGCCCCTGGGTTGGCTAAAGCACGACTGTAGGGCTGGGGCCTGGTACCCCAAGCGGCTCTCAACTGTCCATTTATTTTCTACTTCACCTAATCTCACTGTTCTCTGATCAGTGTTTTAATTATGTTTAAAGTTGTTTTTCTTTGAAGTATAATATTTTTATGCGTTTTGAAAATGAAAGAATGAAATTATTAATATTTGCGCATGGGAACTAGAGAGCCGCTCCTTGACATCAAAAGAGCCGCAGGTTGCCGACCCCTGGGCTAGGAAAACAAATGCAACGTGGAGGACGCACTTGAAATTTTCGGGGGTGGGGGGCAGTAGACTTCGTCGGGGGGGGGGGGGGCGGGACACTGTTAAACAAAATATATATTCTATATAAATTTCATTTCGTTCGGGGGGAGGGGGGTGGGGGGGGGGGTAGGTAGATTTTCTTAGGGGGGGGCGGGGGCGGCGAAGAGGATGCCTGGAGATGCCTACTAATTGGACACAATTTTAATTATTTCATAAAAAACTTAATTAGGCATCCAATTTCGTCAAAGTTTGTGTCAGATTGCATTGTCTTCATGTCGTGCCAACTTTGAAACGAATGTGTCTGTTAGAATTGCCCGTAATTTTCGCTCTAGCATTTCGATCTACGACGACAGAGTAACGACAAACTGACGACTGACTGGACGAGGAAGCAACAGTAACAGTGTTTCTTCCAGACTTTTTTCTCGGGGGGGGGGGGGGGGGGCACTTGGAATTTGCGGGGGGGGGGGGGGGCGGACACTGTTAAAAGTATATATTTTCTATATAAATTCCATTTCGTTCGGAGGGAGGGGGGGTGGGGGGGGGGGTGGGGGTAGGTATTTTTTCTTGGGGGGGGGGGGGGGCGGCGAAGAGATGCCTGGAAGAAACTCTGAACAGTAAAAAGGTGGAAGTGATTTCCACTGAACTTTCACGTATATTATAATCAGTGTTTCTTCCAGACTTTTTTCTCCGGGGGGGGGGGGGGGGGCACTTGAAATTTTCGGGGGGCGGTCAACATTTTTCAGGGGGGGGGGGGCAGACACTAGCAAAAGTGTATGTTTACTATATAAAATCCATCTCGATCGGGGGGGGGGGGCGGTAGACTTTCTTCGGGGGGTTGGGGGAAGAAACTGATTATAATAGTAAGGGGTCGGGATGGCACTTCCAGTGCAATTGCGTTACAAAGATTATGAAGTTTATTGCAAAACAGCTTTTTTTTTTCGAGAAAAAACATAGAGGCGAAAAATTCTTAGAATATGCTGCTTTATAAAGTATGATTTAAAATTATCAAATTGTTATGGTTTGTTGAATAATCGGAAACTTTTTTAAAGATTTAAAGTAAGGTATCCCTTTACCGAAAATCACTTAAAATGTGAAAGAAAAAAAAATACATTAAAAATTACATGTGAAATTTCGTCCACATTGTAAAGTACTATTTCCCGATATCGGATGTAAAACAATCGTTCAAAAGTTGAAAGAAGTGTGTGCACACAATTTAACACTAATATTGAAGGTTTCGTCCACTTAACTTAAACGTAAGTTATTGGCTTTTGAGAAGGGTGTGTCCGGAGCAGATTGACATTTAAATCAAGCTTTACCCCTTAACCCCTGAAGAGGACGCCCAATTAACAAATCTCAGGTGCTAATATGGCCGCTAGGAAACTCTGAGCGCCAAAATGCACCGAGTCGGGGCGCCTTTCCTAAGAAATTTTTGTTAAAAGTAGTAATCAATAAAAGACAAACCCACAAACATACTTTCAATTATAGATTTACCCCCCACCCCCAGCTAAAACCATTGGCTTACACACATGCTAACTTGAAATCTACTTCAATATGAATCCCGTTATAAAGTAGTAAACCTAATCAAACTTTAATTCAGTTTATTTTCCTTCTAGCCTTTGAGGACAGTTAATTATTTTGATTATACATGATGATTATTCCTTGTTGTTGTGTGTTCCTATCGCCACTGCCAATCAATCGTGACAAACGTGTGACGATCTTTGTTAGGTTGCGTTCAACCCCTTCTTGCAGCACTTAGATCTATATTATAACACTTTTAACAATATTAACAACATTAATTGTACTTGACCCCCATGAATGTTATTTCACAACAGTTCTAGATTCTGAACTTGAAGGAAAATCATAGAATTATAACTACAGTCCGATTGTTAACAATCACCACGTAACAATCACGTAACAAATCATTAACGCTATCTTCAATACAGTCCTCAGCGTGTCTCCGTTGAATCTATCTAAAAATAGAAATTATTCCATGAAACAGTCTCAAAGTCTATGGTATTCGCATACTGTTTATAATATATACATTCCTCTATTTCACATAGCACAACCCACACCTAACCTTATTAATCACATGATACACACCAAATCACTTATCCCACTACTCCACTACACACATACACCTCACATCACATGGAGTACACAAAATCTTAACCCATCCGCCCAGAGGCGTAGCGAGGTAGGGTGTCACCCGGTGCGGCACTTAATGGTGCCACCCACCAGAGGCGTAGCGACCCTTCCCGGGGACAAACTTTCAAACTTTTGATTTGCACCCCCCCCCCCCCCTCAAACTTTCGATTTGCACCCCCCCCCCTCAAATTTTTCTCTATATATTTTGCTATTTTTTGTCTTGGTGTCACCCCTTTAAATGGTGTCACCCGGTGTGGTCCGCACCCCCGCCCTCCTCGCTACGCCTCTGCATCCGCCCCACACCCTATTACCCTAAACCACACGACTCTACGATCAGCCCTCACGGCACAATTTCATCACTCCGAAACAAAACCAACACCATTCCGCCCCACACCAAGTTCAAACCCCGAACCACCCCACCCTACACGCCATTCTCCTAGTCACATCACCCAACCGGCAAGTAACACACCCCAAGCTTCATACATTTATCATTCATCTTACTCCATACAGACCACACATACAACACACAGATCCCGTGAGTCCTCGTTCTGAAGCCTTGATGAAAGCCACGCGAAAATCTTGCCTCCAACAACTGTTAATTCATTATATTGTTAAAATCCAACTTTCTTGGGCATAGTTTCTCACATTATCATAGCATTTCTTTCAATCATCTACCAGGGTATGGAGGCAGTTAAATAGAAAATATATACTTGAACTCAGTATCCATCCCCACCTAAACCAACTGTATATTTTTAAAATTATTAAATGTGTATGAAATATTTTGTTATAATTAATTAATATAAGTTATATTGTGTTAGCGTTACAAAATGTCTGCTGCCGTGTTTCGTCTGCTAGACTACTTTGGTGTTTCCGACAGTTCTACACCATCTTTGTAATCGATTACTGTTATGTTGTCGATACTCAACGTGTTATAAACGTGTATAACGTCACAGTTTTGTCACTATTTTGTGAAGAAAAAAGTCTCAAGAAAAAGCCAAAGCAAATTGTGTATTAAAAGTTGTAAAGGAATTATTGCATGCCAGTACGTCTAGTGATTATTATTATTATCATTATTATTCTTTTTAAAGTGCGAAATGTGATGGATACGTAGTCTAAATTAACTTACCGTTAATTTTAATATTCTTAAAAATATTTTAACCTTTGGATCGGCTATTCAATCACATTACTAGATCTATACACACGTTTACTTATCTCGTTAGTTCACAAAAGCATTCAATCAAGACAAAAGCCGTCCATGTATAGAGGGCCACCGAGACGAACACGCCTCTTGGCGGGTAATCCCACTTAGCTGAGGAGCAGCTGACAGCCAGAATCACAAAACACAATACTATTATTACTACACGTTTATATTAAACTGTATGCTTATTAAAATTATTGAAATTTTTGGGGGGGGGGGGGGGGCGGACTAAAATTACCGGCGGAGGGGGGGGGGGGCACTGTTAAAAGTATAGTCTATATATTTTCTATATAAATTCCATTTCGTTCGGGGGGGGGGGGGGGCTGTAGACTTTCTTCGCGAAGAGATGCTTGGAAAAAACAATGATAGCATATTTTAACACACTACATGCGTTGCATATTAGGTAGGCTCCATGTATTATAGGCTTATGGCTTTCACATAATATTTTAGGCGGTTTTTGCATTCACCCTTAAATTAGCTTACGCATTCATTTCCTCTCTTTAGACACCCCATAGTATTTGTTAGTTTTTGCAGCAACACATAGAAGAAATAGAAAAATATATAGAGAGGTCTACAATTTATATAGAAAAAAATATAGTTTCTAGATTCTACTTTTATTAACTATTGTCCTCCCCACCACGGAGAAGGAAATCCTCTCTTCGAAATGTTATGCGAATACGATTATTTGAAGTTTGTAACTGTAATCGGCTTTTGCATTGTGATACTACTTCCTTTTACGTATCTGAGATGGCAGCCGGTGTAAGTGTTCATAGACTTGTATTAATGTTTTATCAATCCAACATAATCAAGTTACTATTTTCTCTTTATTTCACCGCGATGTAAAAATACTATCAAAATAACTCATCCTTTTTATATTTTGCAGACACTTTACACATACCCTCAAAGCTTTAGAGCCAACAAGGCCCTTATCGCGGCTCAATATAGCGGAGCTGATGTGGTAGTTGACAGCAAATTCAAGCTTGGAGAGACAAACAAGTCAGCCGATTTTTTGAAGAAGTTTCCTAATGGCAAGGTAAAATGTGAATAAAGCTATAACTTAGGAAAAACTTTTGTTAAATCGGCTATGTTGCGTGAAAAATGATAGATCTCGTATGGGGTCGTCCATAAATGACTCGGAGGGGGGGGGGGTGTCAGTAATTTTGTGGGGAGGGGGGGGGGGGGGTTCAGATGGCGTGACGTCACACGTTTGCATTATTAAAAAGCAATGTTAGAAAACGAATTTTAGGCGTTATTTCGCGTTTTAGAAAACTTATAAGTTATTAAAATAAAAAGCAATGTTAGAAAACGAATTTTAGGCGTTATTTCGCGTTTTAGAAAACTTAATATAGCTAGTCTCATAACGCGAGTTGAATTACCTCCCCTGACCCGCTTTTTTATGGCCACTTTCTAGTTCGTTTTTTTCGATCGCGTCTCGGCACTGTTGCTAAAAATAGCATTCGCGCAATACCATACGGGTAAATCTGTTTGGCGTCTGCTACACGTGATAGATCGTTGAATGGCCGACAAGCTGATATAAAAATTATTGCGACCGGATGCGATTTTCGTGGAAATTGAGCTAGATTTAGCAAAAGACAGCTATATTTGTGTAAAATATTGTTATTTATACTTCTACTTACACAGATATTTTGATAACTGCAGTTCAGCCGTCCATTTTTCTTTTAAAATGTATCTTTAGAATTTCTGTACCTTTTGGCAATCGGTCAGGAGCATTTGCGCACTAAACCCACCCCCCTACGGCAGATCCGATTTTTTTCCCAGTGAACGCGTACTGACCTCCCACATAGCTAAGATAGTACATTGATACTGATGGGAAAGCCTCTAAATCTGTATTCCTACTAGATCTAGAGATCTAGAAATAAATCTAGATCGTGGAGTTTTTATAATGACTTTTAAATTGAATGTCTCCAGTTTAAGATGTTTTTTTTTTCAAAACATAGCTACTTTTAGTACTATATTTAAGTATTTCAAACCCTTTTGGTAGTTTTTTCTTAAACTTAGACCTAGATTAGATAGGCCTATCTATATTTTGTACTTATAACTTGCAGGCCTATTAAAATAATAATAAAACAGTTTGCTTGATAACTTCATTTGGTCATTTCATAAACACAAATGTTATAAACATATAAAAATCAAAAACCATAGGTAATATCTGAATTCTGTAGCCTACCTTACATTTAGGCTAATACTGAATTAAAAAGAAATTACATTAAGGTTTGAAATTAATACAACTTGTAATTAAGAAAGAAAGCTTCAATTCTAAATACTACAAGATATAATAACAAACAATGAAACAAATTCAAACCCATTTAGTCGAAAAGATTTTTATTTTTTCCGATATTGACCAAAATAAGTTTTTAAAGCTTAGGCCTAATGTTTTTACAAACATAACTCAATTTTATTAGGCCCCTGTAAACATTAATTAAGATTCCTCTGTAGACAAAGCAATCTATTTGGCAGATGAAGTAGAGTTCATGTTTCTTGACCTCGGCATATGAAGTGATTGTCCGTGTGGTCAGCGATATACACAGCCGCCTTTACTTTTTACCTTTAATTTCCCCAATGTATATCAGGTACCCATCAGAAATTGAATTTTATTAAACAAACATTTTGATATAGGCCTAGATCTATAATCTATAACATTCCAAACAACATCTGTTCTGTAGAATTTACCTTTCTGCTTCCAAATGCGGTATTTTCCAATTGAAAATTCATCACAAAACATACAATAAATTATATAAATGGCATTTTATAAATTTATATAAACTATATTCTTTCACCTTGGTGTAAAAAAATGTAGGTATAAGCAAACTGATTTCAATAGTAAGAAATAATCATGTCTTTTCTTGCTTACTAGCTTTAAAACAAGTGAATTTGACTTTTTACCTGCGTTTTTGGTCGCGTTTCTATATATTTTATTTGCGACACTAAAAAAATTATATTTAATCAACCAATTATGCTAAATTAATAAAATTGGTACTGTTGGATTGCATTTTTAAAGCTCTACAATTATATGCTATTCTTTTTATAATTTGAAGAAAATTGAATTTATATGAGACTAACTACTTAATAAATTGGCCGATGCTAGCCGGAATAAGATACGCTTGCGATACGCATGCGCAATGGAGAGAAACTACGACTTGCCTTCGCTGCGATGTTTTCGATGGTACTGCGCATGCGTGTGTTTACAACCACAGAACCCTAACACCAACCCTAACCCTTCCCTTTACCCTGCCTAATCCTAACCCTACCCCTAACCCTCATTCTAACCCTAGCCATAGTTCACTGCGCATCTTTTGCCGACTAAGTGGAGATGTTGGGGAGAAAAATCTTCCGACTAGTCACTTCGTAATAAATTGCAATAGGAATTGATTAAAATACTCTATTTTGACGAGTTCCGACAAGATTTTGGAAAAATACAGATGTTTTAAGAAAAATTCAACTGCAATTTTGAGGGGGGTTGTAGGCTAACGTGCGATGTCATTTTAGGGGGGGGGGAATCGTCAAAAAAAAAGCGTGACATCATTTATGGATGACCCCAATGTTCAAATGATTGATTTTGAGTTGAATTTAAATAAAAATGTCTCTAGGAATCTAGACCTAGGATCTAATTTCTAAATCTATTTTAACATTGCATTCGGATGGTTAAGCCTGTCCTAATGGAATTTTTACTTATTCCATTTAGGTTCCTGCTTTTGAGGGTAAAGATGGATTTGTATTGACAGAAAGCAATGCAATTGCATATTATGGTAAGTCATCCAGTTGTGTGCATTGTTTTTGTTTTTTTTTTGTACGAAGTGACTGCTGTGAAAATGAATTTTCTCCCAAGCGCTATCTGAGCTATCTGGCATGTAAAAGATGCAAAATGAAATGACCTGAACATCTGCGCCATGCGCTCAAATTAAAAACTAGAGCTATGCGCATATTTTTCTGTCTAGAATCAGCCTTTTTTGTATTAATTTATTCAGATAAAACCTTTTTAAGAATGTATTGGGGTGCAGAGATTTGATAAGTATGGGCATAGTGCTGACTACCCCATCACTTACGCCAAAGTCAAGAAACAAACTACTCAAACCACTTAATTTACCTTTTAGATTAGACTGAATGGGGAATGTAGCTTACATTGCAATAGCTCTGTGTAAGAATTTTAAAAACAAATGTTAGTCTCAGCTGGGGATTGAGTTACTTTATATTTATACACTTAAAATTGCCTAAATTGCAGAAAGATTTCATTTATTCTAATTTAAGCCTGGATACATTTTTTCTACAGTATCTAGCTCCCAACTTCATGGTGAAAACAGCAAGGATGCAGCCCTAATTCAACAATGGATCAGTTTTAGTGACAATGAAGTTCTCCCTGCTGCCTGTACTTGGGTTTTTCCTTGCCTAGGCATTACTCAGTTCAATAAACAGGTTTGATCTTGAATTGACACATTTTTGTTAGTTGGCTAACGATAGTTGTTGTGGATGAGGAAGCTGAAGTCTCATCCTGTTTTAGTTCAGAATTAAGCTGAAAACCAGTTTTAAATTAGTTTATACGTTAAACATAAATTTCAACTGAATAACAAAAACTAGTCAGATTTACTAGCGATTTCATCTTTTAACATCACCAGAATGAGACTTTGGACAGCAATCCAGGATAGGTTTTGTGTTTTCTCTGCAGGACACAGACCGTGCCAAGGATCAGATTAAGAGAGTTCTTACTCTGTTGAATGATCATCTTTTGACTCGCACATTTGTTGTTGGTGAGAGGGTAACTCTGGCTGACATCAGCCTTGTTTGCAACTTACAAGCTTTGTATGAACAGGTACGTGGTTATTTTTGAGTTTGTCAAATGAGCTGGGATGATACAGTGGGTATTGAAATTTAATGAAACCAATATCACTCGCCGTACTGAGCTCATGATTTTTTTTACATAGATTTGTATGATAAAATGTAATCATCCAATCTATGTTCAATTGATCTTTTTCAGGTTCTTGATCCAGAATTCCGTAAACCATATCAGAATGTTAACCGATGGTTTACTACTGCTACCAACCAACCCCAGTTTAAGAAAATACTTGGCGAGGTCAAGCTTGCTACTAAAATGGCAACTTTTGATGGTACTTTTTTTTTGTCCCAGAAAAATTTAAAAAAAAAACATGTGGATAGACTAGTATTTATTTTACTAGATGTCTTTGATGATGATGACAAATTTTTTTCCCCGTCATATCGATAAATGATGTTACCATTTTTAAAAGCCAATTTTGACTGAATCAAAGACAATTTTTTAAAATTAAAAACAATTTTTTTAGTTTGGCAGCAATTAATTGTTTCTTGATAATTTTATATTTAACTTTCAGCTAAAAAGTATCAGGAATTGCATGGAGGTGCAACTGGAGGTAGTGGAGATAGTAAGAAAAAGGAGAAAAAACCAGCTCAACCACCACAACCCAAGAAAGAAAAGCCTGCTCCAAAGGTGATTATCAGTTTTTTTTTTTTTTATAGTTAATTTAGCTATTTAATGAGGCTAAGCATTTATAAAAAAATTTCTTTCTTAGCCTGAACCTGAAAATGAGGATGATGAACCAAAGTCTGAGTCTAAGGATCCATTTTCAGTTTTTCCTAAAGGGTAAGGATTATTTATGAAATGGATAGTTTTTAATGAAAACCCTCTCTTCAAAGGCATGCCTGTATTGACTTTGTGGCAGGTGTGTAAGACTGAGAGGTACACTATTATTGAAGTTTAACCTGTTGCAGTTCTTAGCAATTTGCTGGATTGTTCATAATATTCTTCATACATGTTTTTGTTGCAAATGTAGTATAACCTCATTGAAATTAAACATTTGAAATACAAGTGTCAAATTGTACAAATGCTGGTGTGAATTCAAAATAATTTTGTGACCAGACTGTTGACCTTTAAGATGGACAATTTAACACCAACAATGTAATTGCTATTTTAAATCCTGTTATAAACCTATACTTTACTGTGTCCCCAGACCTACTTAAGGTTCAAAAGAAGTTAATTTTAATTACTTTCAATGAGAAATAATTTTGTTTAAAACGTAATCTAGTCCCTATAGTCTTTTAATATTGTCTATTTCATATTATTCAGCACCATGAACTTGGATGAATTCAAGCGTGTATATTCAAATCAAGATATCTTGACTGAGGCTATACCATATTTTTGGAAAAATTTTGATCGTGACAATTATTCAATTTGGTATTGTGAATATACAGAAAATCTTCAAGGAAAGATGGCATTCATGGTGTCAAATCTTGTTGAGGGTATGTAGTGTAGGATTTAGTGTATACAGATGTTTGATAAGACTCTTCTGAAAATAGGTGTTACGTATTGTAATTTTGTTCAATGTTATGGATAGAAATTATAGTTAAGTGTATGGCAGGACTAGCATTGTGGTTAGGGATAGAGTAAGCATTGACATTAGCAAGACATGCGTGTAATTAGTTAACTTCCAGTAACTTAACACCCTTTTTAAGAAGAGTAATATTGCACACTGGTATAAGAAACCCACCGTATTTCATAGCTACTGTACATTGTGTGTGGAGCGCTTGAGTATTAGTCATTTTCTTCTATTTAGGTATGTTCCAGAGGTTAGATAAATTCAGAAAGAATGCCTTTGGCAGTATGCTAATTTTTGGAGAGTCCAAGAACAATTCCATTGCTGGTTTGTGGTTTTGGAGGTGTCCTGATCTTGCATTTAAGGTAAATTTTTCTCACCTCTAGCACACAATTTAAACTAAATTTTTATTGTGTATTACAAAAAAAGAATGAAAAAAGGCTTATTTTTTTGATGGACTTATTTATTAGTTCTTTAATGCATATACAATAGGACCATGATGATACTTGTGGGAATTGATGCTAATGAAATTAATCTCTCACTCGCCGTACTGAGTTCTGTTGGTTGCATTTATTTGTTCAGGGATGACATACCTTATTTTGGCAGATTTTCTATATCTTTCTGTTCTATTTTATTATTTCTATTTTCAAATTAAATACTTTTACCATAAAATAAATTGGGCAAGAAGTATTTTAAATGTTGCTGCTCCCAGTTTCTTTACTACTGTGTTATAATATGTATAATTAATTGACCTAAATTTTTAAAATCTTTTAATTTAAACTGCTAGTGTTAACTACACCATGTACATTTTCCTTTTTCCCCCACTTAATTTTCGAACTTGAAATTAAGGTGAATTCAAGTAATAGGTCTCAAAAACGACACCTTATTATTACATATCACTGATTTATAAAATAATGTAAACTTAGCCACCCCACTTTGGGCGAAAAAATAACTGAAATAGTTAATAGAAATGTTACTCTTAAGATTTTTTCGGTCTCGTTTATTTTTGAAATATTTGTGAAACTATTGAAACAATATTTCTGGTTGTTTTCATAAAATTGTTTTTAAAAAATTATAGCGCTTACTATTTCAGTAATCATTGAATTAAAAACTAGATTGCAAATGTACTAAAATTCTGTAAAGGGAAGCATTTTTGGTACAAAGGTTTAAAGTGAAATTTTAAAATGCTTTTCTGAGAGAATTATGTGTGTAATATTTTTTATATTCTGGTCACATCCCATTGTCCTAATTGCTCTATAACACATTCCAGTAGAACTATGATGATACTTGTGGGAATTGATGCTAATGAAATTAATCTCTCACTCGCCGTACTGAGTTCTGCAATTGTGTCTGCCATGCTTGTAATATTTTGTCTAGTCCTAATTGCTCTATAAATTTATTTCACTATGGACTATGATGATACTTGTGGGAATTGATGCTAATGAAATTAATCTCTCACTCGCCGTACTGAGTTCTGCAATTGTGTCTGCCATGCTTGTAATATTTTGTCTCGTCCTAATTGCTCTATAAATGTATTTCACTATGGACTATGATGATACTTGTGGGAATTGATGCAAATGAAATTAATCTCTCACTCGCCGTACTGAGTTTTGCAATTGTCTGCCATGCTTGTAATATTTTGTCTCGTCCTAATTGCTCTATAAATGTATTTCACTATGGACTATGATGATACTTGTGGGAATTGATGCTAATGAAATTAATCTCTCACTCGCCGTACTGAGTTCTGCAATTGTGTCTGCCATGCTTGTAATATTTTGTCTCGTCCTAATTGCTCTATAAATTTATTTCACTATGGACTATGATGATACTTGTGTGAATTGATGCTAATGAAATTAATCTCTCACTCGCCGTACTGAGTTCTGCAATTGTCTGCCATGCTTGTAATATTTTGTCTCGTCCTAATTGCTCTATAAATTTATTTCACTATGGACTATGATGATACTTGTGGGAATTGATGCAAATGAAATTAATCTCTCACTCGCCGTACTGAGTTCTGCAATTGTGTCTGCCATGCTTGTAATATTTTGTCTCGTCCTAATTGCTCTATAAATTTATTTCACTATGGACTATGATGATACTTGTGGGAATTGATGCTAATGAAATTAATCTCTCACTCGCCGTACTGAGTTCTGCAATTGTCTGCCATGCTTGTAATATTTTGTCTCGTCCTAATTGCTCTATAAATGTATTTCACTATGGACTATGATGATACTTGTGGGAATTGATGCTAATGAAATTAATCTCTCACTCGCCGTACTGAGTTCTGCAATTGTGTCTGCCATGCTTGTAATATTTTTGTCTAGTCATAATTGCTCTATAAATGTATTTCACTATGGACTATGATGATACTTGTGGGAATTGATGCTAATGAAATTAATCTCTCACTCGCCGTACTGAGTTCTGCAATTGAGTCTGCCATGCTTGTAATATTTTGTCTAGTCATAATTGCTCTATAAATGTATTTCACTATGGGCTATGATGATACTTGTGGGAATTGATGCTAATGAAATTAATCTCTCACTCGCCGTACTGAGTTCTGCAATTGTGTCTGCCATGCTTGTAATATTTTGTCTAGTCATAATTGCTCTATAAATGTATTTCACTATGGGCTATGATGATACTTGTGGGAATTGATGCTAATGAAATTAATCTCTCACTCGCCGTACTGAGTTCTGCAATTGTGTCTGCCATGCTTGTAATATTATAATTTTGTCTAGTCATAATTGCTCTAAAAATGTATTTCACTATGGACTATGATGATACTTGTGGGAATTGATGTTAATGAAATTAATCTCTCACTCGCCGTACTGAGTTCTGCAATTGTGTCTGCCATGTTTGTAATATTGTCTCGTCCTAATTGCTCTATAAATGTATTTCACTATGGACTATGATGATACTTGTGGGAATTGATGCTAATGAAATTAATCTCTCACTCGCCGTACTGAGTTCTGCAATTGAGTCTGCCATGCTTGTAATATTTTGTCTCGTCCTAATTGCTCTAAAAATGTATTTCAATATTGGTTGCAATGATTTTACTTGCTATCAATAATTTAACCTTATTACTCTTGATTACACTCATCAGTTACATTTTTCTATTTTTAACAGCTGTCACCTGATTGGATGGTAGATTATGAGTCATACTCATGGAGAAAATTGGACCCAGATAGTGATGAAACAAAAGAATTAGTGAAGAAATACTTCCTTCATGATGGGGATTTTGGTGGGAAGACAATTGCTGATGGAAAAATATTTAAATAGATGCATTAATGGACAATAAAACTGTTAAGCCTATAGTTCTCTGAATTGATTCTTTTTTACCGTAATGCAATTAAAAATGTGATGTAAGTAAGTTGTGAAAACACTTAGAAAAGTTAAAGTGAAAACAGTACCAAAATTTATTAACCATTTTATTAAAAAATTCCTTCTTAGTTACACAATTTTAATCTAGAAATTTCCATTAGCCATAGGTTGGTTGTAGCCCTTTAACTATTTTCTTGTGTAGCAGCAATCTTATCACTCTTGAGTGCAAATCTAGGCTTATTAGTCTTGGAACAAAGTTGTATAGTATTAATAATAAGCAGCTAATTTAATTGATTTGTATTGAGTATAAATTGACATTATTTTACTATGCAAGTTAAGAATTAATTTGTGGTCACAGGATAAAATTACTAGAATTAAGTAATTATGTAAGTAGTGGCATTTATACAGGCGCCCGAATATGGTAACTATGTGTTAACATTCTCACTTCATGACAAGTAATAATTAAAACAGGTGATCATACTGAAATAAAAGGAAAAAAAATGGGTTAATGTTACTTAAGAATTCAAATAAGGGAAATTGTTCTAGAAGTGCTTCTTGGGCTTTTTCTATCTACAGATAATGACTAAATGAAAATAAGACAATTTAACTATTGAATTCTTTTAATGAGCCATTTGGGTATTAAAAATGACCCCTGCCCAGTCAGATAAAGCACATATACGTTTTAAGATACTCCCATGTTTCTTCATCAATGGCCCAGAAGTAAAATCACATTTATTTATAAATAACTACAACTATACATTACAATGACCATCAATATAACCACTAATTTCTGATCAAGTATTTGATGAATATTTTACTCACAAGAAGTTGAAAAAGGAACAACTGATACATCATTAAAAGTATAAAATATATCTTTCTCTTAAATTTTAAGTGAAAGACAAGAGTAGAGAGAAATAAAAATACATAAGATCTAGACTTATTGTGCACCAGACACAACATGCCAGTTTTTTAAAGATCTAAATAGATTACTGGACAACTACACAGAAGTTAAAACTAATATGATGTTCATGCTTTACATTACAATTTTTGAAGCTTTTTTTTTCTTAGTCATCTGTAATAAAGAAAAAAAAGTATCTAGAGTGAATTAAATGAAAAAAAATTATTGAAATAACACAAAAAGCACCATTACTTACCCTGAGCTGAAATGGAGGTGATATCAAACCCTCCATACATTTGAAACCCTAGTTAATTGCTTCTTAATTGATGGAAAATCTAATTATTTCTCTCAAGTTTGATTAGCTTGTGGATACTTTACTGTGTTCTCTTAGCGCTCAAATTAGGGATAATTTTGTTTTGTTCTATATGGATCTTTGCGTGCAGGTGAAATAGTTTGAAAACCGGTGCATAGATTGTTGCTATTTTGTAGATAAAGAACTATTGAAATCTACAAGAGACAACATTTTGTTTGCCTAGCTGTGCAAAACACTTCACCTTTAACAAAAACGTTTTCATCATGTAAGAACTACAAACATCAACTGTTCTAAAGTGGCTGAAATAGTGCAAGGTGCAACTTGAATAAGGCACCATATAAAACACCATTCTGCTTTAAAAATCTACTGACATTTAGCTGCTGTCTAAGAGGCAGCTTTATAAAATCTACTGACATTTAGCTGCTGTCTAAGTGGCTGAGATGGTGCAAGGTGCAATTTGTAGTGGGCACCATAGAACAAGAGAGGTAGTTACCACTGTTAATGTCATAGTCGTCATCGTTGTGATCACCAGGCCCGGACGTGTGATCAATGCCCAAAGTTAGGAGCAGAAAACTTTTGGGTAGAATTTCTTTTATACTAAACTCATTTTCACTAAAGTCTGAATTGTGGAGAAGATAAATAATACTAAACTGTTAATATTAATAAACATAGCAACAGTAGAGATTTATTGTTTATAAATACATTCTAAATAAAAAGAGATTTTTAAAATCACGTAAATAAAGCAAAAAGAGGAGATATATAAACACAGACATTTTCAGTTTTTACTAAACACAAGTATTTATATTTCACACTTAACAACACATGCCACTTTGATCTCAATTTAAAACTGGACCATAGTTTAGTGATCTCATTTATTTTCTTGCAATGTTTTCTAGAATACAATTAAAAAAAAAAGCTTTATACAAGATTCAAATTTATTTTTATACAAATACATTAAGGGGGAAAAATTGAAGTCCTTGAATTGATAATAAAAACATTATCAGACATGGAAATATATACTGTTGTGATAAAAACATGATTAGAACCTTAAAATTACCAGTCACAAGGACTGAAAAATGTAATGAATCTCAAAATCACCAGTATTAATATTATTATTATATGTGTACCAGTATTTAAAACTAATAAATAACTATGCTAAAAGAACTTGGCCCAAAGGATTTACAAAAAAGTAAGCTGAGAGAGATAAGATACCTGAAGCAATTACTGTTTACTACATAATGACTTGTTATTTCATTTCTGGAAGTTAGGTAGCTTACTTTCTGTAAAATTTGAATTATTCTCTTTTGGTGGGAAAGTCAGTATATTTTAATTTATAATTTTTTAAAATCAGTATCGGTAAATAGATATGTGAGTTATGAGTTACACATTTTTAAACTGAGTCGTTTTCATAAAACTGAAAAATATGGACCCTTTTCTAGTATAGTCTAGATACTTAACAAGTGATGAATATTGAATGATGACCAGCTAATAAAAGGAGGACAGTAACAGGATAAAATTAAAAAGATAAAAACTTTAGCATTAAAAACCAATTTGCACTATACATCCTTGTGACACTGGCCTGGCTATCTCAAACAGACAAAACCAGCTGATACTAACATTATGCATGGCACACAAAAATAGTCAAATGAAAACAATAGAACAACTTTATTAATTAATTAAAAAAAATGATTTTGATTCAAAGACAGAAGAGTTCCTACTGGAGATTTCATGATAATTAAACTGATTTAACGCAATAAAGAAATGTGCACAAGCAATTGTTGAAAAAATATAAGCAGAGGTACTCAAAACAGATTATACTACATCGCAGAAATATAGGTAAACAAATAATAGTCTCATACAATTATAACATGAAAAGATGTCTAGTAAATTTATTCTAAAAATCTAACATATTACTAACATAATTTGCACAATAGAAAAATGCAATCTTAAAAAAATAACTAATTATTTAATCAAATATGTATGTTGATTTATTAAGTATTTGTTCAACAAGTTGAAATTTAACAAAGTTTTAAATCAACACCTGAATAGTCTAATGTAATTGTTTTGATTTAGATAGCTATGATATATTTAGTATTAAATGTTTACCCTAACAAAATGCAAATGCTTCAGTTTCTACATACAATTTCAATTCTTTTTTTTTAAAACTTTTGCAAGAACTACATAATCAAAACTTAACAGTACAGACCTTATCTATATACTAAAAAAAAACATGACACACTTTAATTCTAATATTAAACCGATTAAAGTTTTTAAAAACCTTCAAATACTAACATTAGTTTTTTTTAAAATTCTAAAATAAATACATGTTATAAAATACTATTCCAGATAACAAATGTTGAATTTTTAAAGTGACCACAAAATGTATTAATGTTTTACAAAGCAATGGAATGTTTGAGAAGACCAAATAAAACAAACATAACAAAAACTATGAGACAACAGCTATCAACAAAGCAGTGCAAGTTGAGACAAAGGAAAATAACAAAGGAAAATAATTCTGAACATTTCAAATGGGGTTCCAATATATCTAGCTATGTGATCTATAAAGCTATGGTATTAGTTAAGATACATTTAGGTTTTATTTGAACCATTTCACAAATATTTCCCACAAAAACAACCAGCTAAATTAAAAGCAGTACAGAGCAGTTAAAAATGCTAAAGCAAAACAAAGAAAACACAACAATCTCAGATTTACAACATTAGAAAACCATACTATCATACAAATTGTCTGTGCAATCAAATTATGTAACAGTTTTATACATCAATCAATGAGATTCCTAATGGAATCAGTCAACAAAAATATCAAATTAACAACAAATTGTGAAACATTTTTCTGAATTTCTAGCATATTGATGCTTGTTGTAGCTAATGCAAATATCCAGGAAGTGCTAAATTGTCTTCTAATAAATTCTAAGATTGAGATCACACCGTAAAATATTTCTACTTTCTAGAAAAAATATCTTTTAGCCTGTTTTAAAAGCAAGTTTTAAATAAAAATAGTATGAATTATTCATAAAAAACGGAATCAAAATCATTCTGCGCAAGAAAACCACGTAGACTATTGCGGTAATCATCTTCAGGTAAGCCTGCAATGTAAAACATTACTCTTCTTGTAAAACAACTTTGTACTGCCTATTAATATTAAGTAAAGGGTAGATTAATGGAATAAAAATTTCTGATAGCTAAAGATTTAAACAATAATATATCTGCCTAAGAGCAAAATTAACTACGGTCATTTATATGATATAAATATAATTTGAAATTTTTAATGTAGAAAATGGTAACAACATTTAGATTTAGTTGAAATATTAATTTTTTAATTATAGTTTTTAAAAAAAAAATCTCTTTAATTTGATTTTTTTAAAAAATTGTTTCGATAAATGCCAGAAGCAAAAAATGAGATGAAAGGTTTTTGTAGAGAATGCAAACCTTTGCTAGAATAAAGCTTGAATGAAAACAGATCCAAGAACACAGTGCCTGAGGTCAAGTCATGCTGTATTATTGAATCATGCTGGAATTGTACAAACTGATAACATATCAGAATGTTAATAACTTGCCAGGGCAGAATGTATTATATTTGAAAGCAAAGTCAAAAGCTTTTGATAAAATGAATTACAAAAAAAAAATCTCTTTCAACAAATATATAGAGGTATGGACAGTGATTACTGCTAAAAGAAAGCAGAGTAATGTTTACATTGATTTTAAGATCAACAGAACTTCACAACCAACCAACATTTTAATTTTCAGAGCTAAAATATAGTGATTCTAATCAAACATGGTTTAATTTACATGTTTATGTACTATAAATCTTTGACACAAAATAGAATAGCCTTGATTTTTATTATTGTAAATTGTTGTAATTTAGATTATGGCATAAGTTATACAAATATAATTTAGAATATAGATTCTAGTGATCTTTTTCTAATATTGTTAAGAAAAGTACATAGTTGTTTATCCTTATTAATTTTGAATATCTCTTGTCCTATCCATAATTTTAAAAAATTGATATTTTGAAAGAAAAGAACAAGCAAACAGTTTTAGAAATTTTTACTAAAAAAAAAATTTGTAGCAAATCCTACTACTGAGTGATCAAAGAATTGACATGCACAATTGTTATTATATGCCCCTTGCAGAATATCACACGTGTTGATACATAAGAAAATATGCCAACTCAATAGTAAATATAACTTTATAAATAGAAATATAGTAATCTTGTATTATCTGAAACTATAAAACAAACAGCTAAACACCTTGAAAAAAACCTTCAAAAGTTTTTTAACAACCTTAAAATTACTGTTTTGAACAGCTGTAAATAATTTACCAAATGCATATACAAATTCATTCAAGAAAACTTCACAACACAATATTTAAATCTGAGAAAATGAAAGATACCAGGGTAAGCTGAAACACGTCACACACCAAAAAGTTAAAACTCACTGTTTCTAAATAATTTTCATGAGTGGAAAATGGGGTAAAAAATGAATCAGTAGGCCTATGGTAAAATAAATCTTTCTGTCTGGCATAATTTAATTGTATACAATTAGCAAAATATAATAAAAAGTGAAAGCAATTTAGATTTATTATAATTATAATCATGAGAATTGAACATTCTTTATTAGATAGATAAAACAAGTTTGTTTACCTACATAGGATCAACCGATAAGACGTATTTAAAATACCATATCCTTATTAAAATACTTGAACACTTTGAATGAAAAGCTCTGTATTAGCTTTAATTTATCTTAGGCCCGTAGAGAAATCCACTGAGGTCAAAGAAGAGGGGAGTTAATTCCTATCTCTAAATACACTTCAACAATCAAAAACCTTTTCATTTATTTCAAATACTATAGGGGGCTATTTATAAATGAAGGATAGAAATATTATGCCATCATTGTAATATGAAACTGATCATTTAAAATTAAGGATGACTACCAATCATACAAGTGTTGACAACAATTAGCATAGACACACTGGCGATGTGAAGCTTATGTGGAACACATAGAAGCAGACACCTCAGCAGCAACAGTTCTCACTGTCTATAATAAATTCATGTAAAAGACGAAGATATGTACAGGGTGGGTGGGAGGTTTATACAGTTTCCATGTTAAAAATACCAGTTTCACAACCAACAAGTCCCTTGCTAAATACAAAAGTTGAAAAACAAAACACAACAAAACAAACCACCTTTCAAAAATTATTAAGGCACTTAACAGTATGTATGAAAATTTCTTACTTTAGAGTAAAATAATTTTAAGTAAATAAGGTGATCAGACAAAAGCCATATTTGTGTTATCTTTGTGCTGTTTATTTAAAAAAAAGAGACCAAAAAATTGAATTATGGACCTCAACTATTCAAATGAAAAAAAAAATTAAGTTTTATTTTTATCAAAATAATCAATAATGCCATCATTTTAAAATAACATGTATGTATAATTACTATAATTTCTGGCATAATGTGATGAAAGTAGTTAGAGATTAAATTTTTAAAAATATTATTATTAATATTATGCATAAAGATAACTGAGGCGAAAATTGTCTATAAAACTCTTGATACTTTGTTGTAAATAATTCTAACTTTTTATTGTTGAAAACTTTTTTTATAAATAGATCTAGATCTAGTAAATAGATAGATTTATCTGCAAAGTTAAAAAAAAATTATTAAAACCACCATGTGATCAAAACAAGGGAACAAAACTGGTTTAGCCATCAGATCATCAGTCCCATCTCTACCTGAGTAACAATAATGTAATTAAGTGTTTCAGCCTAGGAGCAGAGTCATGCTGCATAGTTTAGTGTAAATACCGCAACATTCTCTGTGGTCAAAGTAACACAAGAAGTTGGAAAGTATGGAAGTAAAAGCACAACATGAATAAAATAAAAAAAGAGGAAGAGAAATTGAGAATTGTTTTGTGTACAAGTGTAGCGAGCATAGGGTGGCCGCATACAATACAGAGCAAATAGCACAGTGGTCATGTCATGAAGCTGCTTTGTTATGATTATTAGCTTGCTTTTCGCGAAATTTGCTGAATGAGTATTTTTCATTCACACCTTTCTGACCAATCTCATCCCAGGTTTTTAGGTTCCTCTCCTGGCGGTATTTCTCCCACCTTTCATCGTCAGACTCATGGGTGAGGTACCTGATGCCTACCTGTCTCTCCAAGATACGCAGGTCACACCAGGTTTGGTAGTCCTAAAATAAAAGTCAAGGGGATTTAACTCAGCCAAATCTTGTGTCTGATTGGTTACTAAAAATAAAAGTCAAGGGAAACTAACTAAGCCAAACCATGTGTCTGATAGGTTACTAAAAGAAATGGAAATGGGGGCCCTTTCAGAGATAATTGAAAAAAGTTGACCCTGAATGGGCCACATAGAGATCAAATGAAAATACAGCTATTGTGGTAAATAAAGAAAACAGGGAAGGCTTAGGGAGATATGGAGATGCACAGTTGAAAAACAACTGATGAGTCAGACTGTCTTGGGGAACTGCAAACAAAGTTGTCAGAGACCGACAAAAGTTGAAAGTGTTTTCTGTGTCAGTCAATGTGTCCTGGGCAGAAGAGAAAAAGAGATAAAATCAAAGAGTGTCCACCCAACAAGTGGCCACACAGCAGAAGTACAGCAGTCCAGTGGTTTCTACCTGATTGTGTTGGAACTAATGTTTGATGCCAACATTAAATAGAGTAGAATAAAGCCAGGAATTCTTACCTGCAGAAATACATGGTTCAAGGACTTATCAACTGTAAACCTCTTGCGCATCTTAACTTGTAAAAGGTTGGAGATTAAATCAATGCCTTAAATTATAAAAAGTTTATAATAAAAATAAAAAATACGTCAATGCATACAATTGCTACAATCTTTAGATTTTAATTAACAAATAAAAAAAAAAACCAAAATAACAGATAAGCTAATTTATTTTTTGGTACATTTGTAATAACAAACAACCAAAATTAACACAGCATTTGATTTAGAAAATAAATTAATTTTCAAAGAGTTCAAATAAAGAAAGCATTACCTTCCTGTGATATGTCCTTCCATGGGTTGGGGGGATACATGAAAGATGCGTTCTGAATTTGGTCTGATATCTCTTCGTCTTCATTAAAAGGGAATGTTCCACTAAGGCTGGAGGAGACAGAAAGCATTCATTCAACCACTGAGTGATTTTAATCATTCATCATTCAACCACTGAGTGGTTTAAATCATTCAACCACTGGGTGATTTGAAATCATTCATCACTCAACCAGTGAATGATTTTTAATCATTCATCATTCAACCACTGAGTTATTTTAAATCATTCATCACTCAACCAGTGAGTGATTTTAAATCATTCATCATTCAACCACTGAGTTATTTTAAATCATTCATCATTCAACCAGTAATTGATTTTTCAGCTTGTGATGGATTTGAAATCATTAGGACATTTTATAATTTGATGGATGAACTACATCAGTATGTGTGGAAGAATGATTTTGTCGCTGGTTTCATTTAAAACAATCAGTGAGTGATACACTGAAAACATGCACTTCAATGAGAAAATGATAAACTAGAACCATGCACATGAATGAGTAAGTGATACAAAATGATATTTACGTAAGAGAATATTTAGGTCAGAGGGCATTTTGGTCAGAGGATATTTAGGTCAGAGGATAATTAGCCACTTACCTGACATAAACTACAACACCAACTGACCACATGTCTAAGGACCGGTTGTAGCCTTTTCTTTTTAACACCTCAGGAGCTGAAGTCAAATATCAAATATTAAAGTTTCATGTCAGGAGTTTTAAGTCAAGCAATAAAAATAAAAACAAGTTAGAAATTAAAATCAAATAACAGAAATTAACATAACAATTGAGAAAGTTGAGTCAACCTACAAAATGAAAGGAACATTGATTCAATGATATTGAGAATAATACCTGATCTTATGATAGCTAAGAAGCAATGTAACTAATACCTCAAAACGAAACTAAAACAACAATTATACAATGACCTCCTTAACTGACTCATTGCAACATTTCTCATTCACCTATTATATTATTATATCTCATTTAGTATTATAACTAAGTAATATTATTTCTTTATTCCAAATTTTTTAATGCTATGTTACTGCTATGTGTTTACTACTCCATTGCTTTTTATTAAAATGCTGTTATGTTTTTTTTTAAACAGCCAATGTGAAAAAAGGCCTCCTTGCCTACTGTTGTTACCGTTATTGAATAACTTGAATACCTCAATATGCATGTGTTAACATATCTCACTGTGCTATTGTTAACATACCTCACTGTGCATATGTTAACATACCTCACTGTACAGGTGTTAACATACCTCACTGTGCAGGTGTTAACATACCTCACTGTGTAGGTGTTAACATATCTCACTGTACAGGTGTTAACATACTTCACTGTACAGGTGTTGACATACCTCACTGTGCAGGTGTTAACATATGTCACCATGCAGGTATTAACATATCTCACTGTACAGGTGTTAACATATCACACTGTGCAAGTGTTAACATATCTCACTGTGCAGGTGTTAACATACCTAGATATGCAGGGGTTCCAACTACAGAGCGACGGAATGATTTTTCTCCAATGATTCTAGCAAAGCCAAAGTCACAGAGTTTCACCTTGAATGTATAGAAAAAATCATTGAGTAGAAATGAAAAGTTACCTACAGGTCTACACTCAAGGTAATATAGTCATCACAAAATTAAACATACATTTCATAGTAAAATTAATCAACGGGTACTAAATTCATCAAAAAATTAATCTGCAGGAATTTAATACATTTTACATCACAAAATTAATCTAAAATTATCACATAACTTTACTTGTAAGCAAAAATCAGAACTAACTTTATCACTGCGAATTTACAAACATTAAAATAAATGAGCAATAAAAATAAAAAAAAGGAAGTTTGAGCATAACAAAAAAGTGAAGGTACGTATGAGCTAGTTCAACAAAAAAGGTGGTTCTACCTGAGGAAATGCAGTCTCGGAAGAGAGTAGAACATTCTCTGGTTTGAGGTCACAGTGGACAATACACTTGGAATGCAAATGTTTTAAGGCAATCAGGATCTGGAGACAAAAATATATTTTTTTGCCTTAGTAAATCAACACTTAAACAAATACAGGGCGACATTGTTCACATGAAATGTTACATTATATTTGAAATTGTGTTAATAAAAAAAATTCATAAAAATTTACATTGTAAAAATGGTCATTTAGAATGGAAGTAGCCAGTGCCACTGAAGGATTACCTGGGATATAAGGAATTTAGTGACCCTCTCACTGAGACGACCTTTCGGACTAGATAAAATCATTTCTAACATATCACCTTTTAACTTCTCCATCACAACAAATATCTAGGAGAGAAAATGGTTATCTTTAAACAGTTGATAATGAGTTACTTCTTTAACAAAATGTGTGCCCTAGTTGAGAGAGATTTTCTATGACTAGAGAGGCCTCAGTATGGTACCAGTGAAAGGCTAAAGGTTGCATGGCCACGATTTCTTGGAGTAATTAGAAATCTCCACACGAACCCTCACATTAAAGTAATAATAAATCTCCACTCCAATCCTCACATTAATTAAAATAATAATAAATCTCTACACCGACTCGCTCATTAGTTAAAGTAAAAGTAAACTCATTAATTAAAGTAACAAATCTCCACACTGACCCTCTCGTTAGTTTCAAACATCTGCTCCAAGTTGACCACACCTGGGTGATGTAAGTTCTGGTCAAGGAAACAAAACAAACCGAGTTAAACTTAGTCTTGGCCAGACAGAGCTCCTTTTGTAAACCAAGTGATGGTCGAATAAACATTATGTCAAAACATGGAACTAATGAAAGATAATTAACTTAATCACATAAAAGGTGACATAGAATCAAAAGCAGAGGGACAAGTAAAAGCTAGATGTTTATTACAGTGTTAGTGGTACAAGAGCAGCTTCTTTAGATATTGTGGTGGCTAAGATCATCAAGCTAAAAATAGTACCTTTAAAATCTCCACTTCTATTTTTAGCTGAGCCTCTTGTTTGGTGGGGAATCTCATTTTGTCAATCACTTTAATCGCAACTTCACGATTTGTTTTCTTATGCCGACCTGAGGAAAAGTTTTAAAAATAAAATAAAATTAAAAAGTAAAATATAAAGGTAACAAAAAAAATAGTAGTTCATATAATAATTTTTTAATTTGATGACACAATGAATATATTTTAGTCCTTAAAATAAGCAAATGTCCCTAATGCAAATGATCATACTTATAGTACGATCCTTTGCTCATTTAATCATTTAATTACTCATAATTCACATCATTTTAGAAAATATGTTCAATGACTAGTATAGTGTATTGCACAAAATAATTCACGCAAATATTTTTTTTACCTCCATAGACAATTCCAAACTGGCCAGAACCTAAAACATCCTCTGGAATTATCTGGTACAGGTGGCTGATTTCAGCCTGAAACAATGGCGTTATGGTTTGTTAACATTTGCAACTTGATTGGTTTATTTGTTGGAAGATTTGAAGAATGATTAAATGGAAATATTTTAAATTTAGGATGATAACACTGAAAATGTTTTAATTATAATTTATAATTTAACCTTTTAAGTATTTTTCACTTTATAACAGAGTATAGTATGGTGCCATTAAAATAAACATTAGCAGTTCTACACCATAAAATTGAGATACACCTGTGTAATTTTGTTAACCAGCTGATCTATCAGACACTTACCTGTCCAGGTTTTTGGTTCTCATCATTGCCATTACTGTCTGCTGCAAAACAAAAGGTTCATGTAACAGCTGTTTTGTTTATCTGTTCTATAGTTTAGTATTCTATTCTTAAATAAGCTAAACTTAAAAACTTATTTAAACAAGTTAAACTTTTAACACTTGTACCATTATTTAACATTATTAAGCGTACTTGCATGATGCGCCCCTTTGAAAATTTACAAGTAATGATTTGTACTAAAGAAAACTAAAAGCAGGACATCAATTATACATCAAAATTATTGAGTAGCAAGTTTACCAGGGAGATTAGCAACACTGGGCTGTGGAGTGACAGGCATCAACGCCTGGCGGATGGCGTGCTCCCAGTGGCGCGCCTGCTCCAGCCCCACCCCACTCTCAGGGGAAACAACGATGTTTGATTCCTGGCCGTAGGTGGGGTCCTCCCCCACATAGTACGTCATAGAATCCGTGGAGAACTCAAACACATGAGGAAACCTGGAGTAGTCCTGGCCTTTGGGGGCTTTGGCTGATTCAACACCCGTAATACTGTTTAAATCTATTTTCTGACAAGTTTAAAAAAACAACAGTTAACTTATTGAACAACAGATTTATTTTGTTAACGATTGACAAAAAATGGTATTTAAAGACTTTGATATATTTTTTTAAAAATCCTGGACATATTTAACTACAAAAATTGGGGAAAAATGGTTTTTAAGAGATGGATATATTTTTCGAAAACCCATGTGCACCTAACAATGAATATACAATAAAAAAAAATGGGCACTCTTCTACAGCTTATCATGGATCATGCTAACTGAACATTTGCTTTTACTTAATAGTCACATTTTTTTTTACAAAAACAGGAATTTCATTTAAAAATGTGTCATTGAATTAATGAAAGCCTTCTTCTTCTCAACAAAAACAACTACTACAGTATTACTATTTAAAATTAAATAATTTAACTGGAATATAATACAAGTATTTTTAGTAAATAAATAATCTTCTCTCACAGATTTCTAGTAATTTTCAAACTGCCATGAAATGAGTAAACAGAGCTGTAGATGAGTACAAGTAAGGTCTTTGATAACCAATACTGACACCATGACATTAAAGACTAGATGCTAACATTTCCTGACCTTTTATTTACCCCTGGGCAATTAGACTGACCACATTTCTTTTAAAGACCATGTGACTCCTACCTTATAATACCTTGTTGATTTCTCATCTATAAATAAATAGATGGACTTTGGATCCAGTCGCCAGAAATGTCTTTTTCTCTGTAGACAGAAACACAATAGAGCTTATTAAAACAAAAAAGAACAAATTAATTTTAACTACTGTATTAAAAGAAACTGTATTAAAAGAAAGACCAAATTAGTTCATTTAAGAAACTTATTTAAAAAAATGAACTAATTGTAACTACCTTATTAAAACAGGAACACACTAGTACTTCACTTAAGAAATTTAATTTAAAAAAAAATTTAACTACCATATTATAAAAAAGGGAACAAATTAGTTTAAGAGACTTATAAAAAAAGAAAACTAATTAATTTTATTTACATGTGTTTCACTAATAAAAGAACCAAAAATTTTAACTCAGGGTTTTAACTGATTCTAAAACAAAGAAGAGTCACCATTTTATCCTTGTCAGTACAGTGGACCATCCAGCCTTCCTTCAGTATCCTGGAACCTGCTCTCTTGGTGTGTTTCACTGACTGGACAACTCTCATCAATGGAATGTTGCTGCTGTCTATGGGACTGTAGGGGAGAAAACATCTGCTAGAGCTTTGTGGGGGTTACAATATTAACTCGTGTATAGTTTGATAACAACAAGCTGTAATACTTTGAGATTTGAAGTTGGGCGAACATTTCATGAAAATATCATTACAGTTAGATTAAAATTAGTCTACTGAACTAAAACTTATTAATGAATTATCATTTGGATTTTAGAATATTGTTTTTAACATTTGTGTTAAAGCTTCAGAAACATTATTGTTTCTTTGGTGTGTTTTGTTTTATTTTACTTTTTTTCCCGGGCTACAAATACATAGAGTAAATATTTTAAAGAATGACATTTAGACAATAGAAGAGGTTTATAGAATGACATTTAAACAATAGAAGAGGTTTATAAAATGACATTTAGACAATAGAAGAGGTTTATAGAATGACATTTAGACAATAGAAGAGGTTTATAGAATGACATTTAGACAATAGAGGCAGTTTATAGAATGACATTTAGACACTACCTGAGAGGTGGTTTAGGCTCGACATCCTCAGAGTCATCATCATCTGTCACTGACGGGGTGCCGTCATCCTGTCCCTCCATGTTGTCAGGGAAGGTGTCGTCTTGATCTGCGTGGTCAATAGATTCTGATAGTGCTGTCCACCACACCACCACCACCACACATCAACAACAAACAAACACAGAGACAGAAGAAAACAAAAAACTGCTGAAATTGTCAAGTTACTCAAACCAACATTGCACATAATAACATTGGGAGCTACTGATTAAATAAACTTGTCCTAAACTTATATTTAAAAAAATTATGTGGGCAATTAAAATGTTTTAGTATAATAATTAATTTATAAATAGATGTTTCTAAAAATAATAAAGTATATATATATTTTTAACTCTGGACAATGTGGGGAAAAAAAGTATTTATTCCAATGGGACAAATTTAAAAAAAGCATTTCTCATATTATCTATAAAAAAACATACAAATATTTAGCAAGAATACTAAAAAAAAAAATGTTATTAAAAAGAAAATGCACACTGGTAAGAAAAACAAAGTGGTTAAATGTTGATGTGGTTAAAACTCACTTGTTTAAATAAGCACTTCTGTTAGGGTCAAAGACAAACCAAGATGATTGGTTAAAATAATTCTATTTAAAACACGTGCAATGTTAATCTTCACAACTTCAAGCAGTTCTCAACACCACACACAACACAAACAATTTCTCTACACAAAACACAAACAATTTCTCTACACAAAAACTACTTCAACATTAACAAGATCATATTAGACATTAATGGAGTAATATACATTTTTAATGTAAGCAAATTAATTTTCTTCTACGAATATGCAAGGTCTAGGATTAAAAAGTTAAGAATAAAAACTAACTTACAAATCATTTAAACTACAACATAGAGAGAACAAAGGGAAGATAACACTTTGTTTAATGTTATGTTTACTAGTGAAGACAAAAGGCTGGCTATTTTTGCTTCATGTCATCTACTGCTCTGTATTCATGTTTTACTTTTAAGTTCACTCTTAAATGTTTGTCCTATAACATCGTGTCAATTGCTGTCAGTTTACAAATGATATCAATTGAAGTATTTTCTTCTTATTACAAATTTTTCTAGAATTATTTTCTAAAATCAGATTTGTATTAAATAGCCTAAATAGCCATGTTTTTCAATTCATAGCTGACAGCTGGGCTGGCTAGTTGCTAGCCTGTTAGCAAGATTTTCATGTCTATGTTAATAAACATATATATATATATATGTATATATATATATATATACACATATATATATGTGTGTGTGTGTATATATATATATATATGTGTATATATATATATATATATATATATATATATATATATATATATATATATATATATATATATATGTATATATATATATATAAATATATATATATATATTATATATATGTATATATATTATATATATATTTACATATACCCATACATAAACATACATTTAGTTTTTGAAGCAAGCTCAGTTCTAAATTGAAATTAGCCTCTACACTAATGTTACAACATTCACTCAGACAAACTCTTAGTAAAATCTACAATAGATTCCATGTTAGAACATGTGGTAGAAACAGATGCTAGGATCAACCAACAACATGGGTGTTTACCTTCTACACCATCATAGGGAAGTTCACCAGCGCAGTCATTGGGTACCAGTGGCGCGCACCTCCTGTGTGTGTTAAACTTGCAGTCTGGTGAGGTTCATTACGTTTAAATTAAACTTTCAATAACGACAGTTTTTAAAATGAATGGATGGAGTATTTATGTCAAAGTAAAGGAGCATAAAAAAATGAAATATGGAGTATTTATGTCAAAGTAAAGGAGTGTAATAAAATGAAATATGGAGTATTTATGTCAAAGTAAAGGAGTATAATAAAATGAAATATGGAGTACTTCTACAAAAGTAGGAGACGTTAACCTTTGCATTGCATCCCCTGGCGTATAATGCCTCGCAGGAGTTTCTTGCAGTACTGGCACTGGGTGGGTCGTGTGTAGTTGTGGACAACAAAGGTATGCGGCACCTTGATGCGGCTGGCGTACTCTCGCTCCAGCCAGATAGGTCTGCCTGTCCATGACTTGGAGCGTCCACTGCTGGGTGAGGGGGGTGTTGGCCCAGGGGATGGGACACTCAACAACGTCTTTAGTGATGAGAAAAAAAGGTGAATTTTAATTGGCGGATTTGGTACCCACAAAACACAAAACTTTTCGTAGACATAAAAGAATAATATAAAAGTTGGAAACAGTCAAGTTGGACAAATATAAAATGATATGCAAACATTTTTCAGTCAGATGACAATAAGTTTAAACCACAAAAGTAATTTAAAAAGTGACAATATCTTTATAAAAACACATTTGTTAAAGCATTACAAATGTGGATTTAGAAACTTGTTATTATAAAAGGTTTTGTACTTGTTTTATTCTCAACACTTAAGTAACCACAAATTAAAAAAAAATAGTAAGTGGAACTTAAGTTTTAAAACAATTAGTACCAAATTTATTCTTTGCATTCCATTTGTGTGTAATTAAGTCCAAATTGAGTTGACCCTACTTCGACCCCAAACAAATGGATAAACAGAGAGATCTAAGACAAAGCTTGAAGAGAGACTGAAGTCTTTTTAGTTCACTGTAGTTAAGCCAGTCAGTTACTCTAGTAGAAATATTATATACTTCATTAAGGCTACTACAGCAGACACACCCCTCTCCCCCAAACAGTTCCTGCCTGTGACACTAATGTAATATTAAGTCACAGTGTGAACGATCAACCCAATAAAGCAAGACCTGACTGCTACAACTGGCACCTAATGCCGGATAACATTTCACACAATAACACACATACATGGAAAAGAGAACATAAAACATGTCAAACAACACATTATAATATATAGCCACATTAGCTGGAGAGAAAAAGAGAATTTATTTATAGCCTTAATGTGTGTTGGAGCAAGGGGAATGTGACATGAAAACGCTATAAATAGAACAGACACAACAGCATTAAACTAGTTTGTTTCTTTAAAAAAAGGGTTTTTTAAAAAGTGCGATTATGGGAAGAGACAGGTGCTATAAATAAAGTGAAGGCTGGGCCTTAGGGACATGAGCTAACCTAGTTCACATGAACAAGATTAAGGTGTTCGGAGAATTAAAACTAATCTATGCTTTATAACCAGACATTTACTTTTATGGAATTTTAAAATGAACATTATTGAAAAACTAATTGCAGTTGTTATTAACACAAACAAAATTAAAAAAAAAATAATTTTATAATGGAAGAAATTAATGTATTAACTTTTAAAAATAGTTGTGTCAGTGTCGTGCTGGAAACCTATACATACATTAATCAACACTGCAGTACAGGATCTAAAATAGCAATTAACTGAAGGGTTAGGAAACATCTGATGCCCAACATAACCCAAACCATAGCTTGTAGAGGCTTGTTTACTATGTCAGCTAGCTAGCCCAGAACTGCGCCTCTGCTAGCTAGCCTACAACTACCTCTGCTAGCTAGCTTACAACTACACCTCAGCTATCCAACAACTACACCTCAGCTAGCTAGCCTACAACTACACCTCTGCAAACTAGCCTGCACCTCTGCAAGCTAGCCTACAACTACACCTCACCTAGCTAGCCTACAACTGCACCTATGCTAGCTAGGACACAACTACACCTATGCTAGCTAGCACACAACTACACCGCTAGCTAGCCTACTTCTCAGCTAGCTAGCCTACAACTACATCTCTGCTCGCTAGCCTACAACTGCACCTATGCTAGCTAGCCTACAACTGCACCTATGCTAGCTAGCACACAACTACACCGATACATCTCAGCTAGCTAGCTACAACTACACCTCTGCTAGCTACCCACCCCCAGCTAGCTATACGCTCTTTAGCTGTCCTATTGCTACTTCACATGATGTAAAATAGCTGCACTGTATCACACTTGATTTGTGTCCCTTGGTTGACTGTTTCATTACAGCAGTAAACATAAATATTTGATAAGGACCAGGAAGCACTTTTTCTGTGACACATGTTTTGGTTCTAACAATCACAACAGTACACACAACTCAAATACCTAGATATTTCTGTTGCAACTGCTTGTGTATACTTCAAATACACCAGGATTAATCTATCTTTACCAGAACAAATCTTATTTTACATCTTTACCAAACAAAAAAAGATTCTATAATTTCTAATATAGCCTCCCCATCCCAAATAAACCTTACAACTATATAATTAAATTGATTCAGTTTAAACATGACCAACATTGGCAGTACAAGAACAACATAAACATTTTAAAACATGATTTCAGATCCAATCACCCTGCACCATAAAATTTTTAAAAATCTGGCAACTATTATTCCCTTTACTCTCTAGTGTTTGAAGGTAAGCAGCTTAACCAGCCCATTGATACAGTCTTTTATCTACACTACATCAAATGGGATTTCCCCAATCTGCACAGTGGAATGTTGACATAGGTGAACTAATACCCTTCAAATCTATAGATCTCTCTTTTCTTGGTTCAATTCATCATGGGCTCAGCCCTTGTCTCAAAATTTATGACTACTTCAATAAATAGCTAGTAATTACTTTTTTAAAGAAAGAACAACTTTACCGATAACCGTATTATTTAGAAAAAAAAGTCCCATGTAATATATGCCTCAAACCTACCCCATCTATTAAGTCACATGTAAAATATTCAGAACTTATACCAACAAGACAAGGTCCACAAACCTACCCCATCCAGTGAGTCCCATGTAAGACCAGCTCCACGTACCTGTACTTGATTGTCACAGCTGGACAAACTGGTGTCGGCCTTGAGTGGCAAGGTGAAGGACACACTGGAGGAGGAGTAGCGCCTGAACCTGTCGTGTGCACAGTTGTTGGGGATCTTGTAAGCACAGCGTTTGTGGAAGTTTAGTCCACATCCTGAAACATAAAGTTTATGGAAGTTTAGTCCACAGCCTGAAACATAAAGTTTATGGAAGTTTAGTCCACAGCCTAAAACAGGGGTCTCCAAACTACGGCCCGCGGGCCGGATGCGGCCCGCGAGGTCCTCTCATCCGGCCCGCGGAGATCTTTTTGTCCACGGGAAAAAATGTTTCTTGGAGGTGGCTGAGGAACTTTGCCCAGAAAATTCAAAATAATTTGAAAATGTAGCTTTGGTTGCAATACCATTGCCCGCCGTTTTGCAGACATTGGTGAAAACGGCAAGCTTTGTGTGCTAAATATATGGACTTAAGCTGTGTACTGAATACCCTAACGAAGATGGTGAATTTAATAAGGTCATATGGGCTTAACCCTAGATAGTTTAGCGACATGTTGAAAGATACAAACACAGAATCGCAATATTTACTATATTACACAGCAGTACGATGGCTAAGTTGTGAGAAACTTCTGAGCAGAGTATTTAAGTTAAGAAAGGAAATAGGTGACTTCCTGGAAAGTAGGCAAGCCACGTCCATAAATGTCTGGTGAAGAATGGGTATAGCAATAGGCCTCTGCTGCAAACATAACTAGTCATTGAAATTTTCTGAACCCATAACTATAAGAGAGGGAAATATAGTTTCTATACACCCAACTAAAGGCATTTCAGCTACCCCGAAGAGATGCCTGGAAGAAACTCTGGCCCCCGAACTAATATTTGATAGTTAATGCGGCCCTCGGGCTGAAAAGTTTGGAGACCCCTGGCCTAAAATATAAAGTTTATGGAAGTTTAGTCCACAGCCTGAAACATAAAGTTTATTTAATCCACAGACTGAAACATAAAGTTTATGGAAGTTTAGTCCACAGCCTGAAACATAAAGTTTATTTAATCCACAGCCAGAAACATAAAGTTTATTTAATCCACAGCCTGAAACATAAAGTTTATGGAAGATTAGTCCACAGCCTGAAACATAAAGTTTATTTAATCCACAGCCTGAAACATAAAGTTTATTTAATCCACAGCCTCAAACATAAAGTTTATTTAATCCACAGCCTGAAACATAAAGTTTATTTAATCCACAGCCTGAAACATAAAGTTTATTTAATCCACAGCCTGAAACATAAAGTTTATTTAATCCACAGCCTCAAACATAAAGTTTATTTAATCCACAGCCTGAAACATAAAGTTTATTTAATCCACAGCCTGAAACATAAAGTTTATTTAATCCACAGCCTGAAACATAAAGTTTATTTAATCCACAGCCTGAAACATAAAGTTTATTTAATCCACAGACTGAAACATAAAGTTTATGGAAGTTTAGTCCACAGCCTGAAACATAAAGTTTATTTAATCCACAGCCAGAAACATAAAGTTTATTTAATCCACAGCCTGAAACATAAAGTTTATGGAAGATTAGTCCACAGCCTGAAACATAAAGTTTATTTAATCCACAGCCTGAAACATAAAGTTTATTTAATCCACAGCCTCAAACATAAAGTTTATTTAATCCACAGCCTGAAACATAAAGTTTATTTAATCCACAGCCTGAAACATAAAGTTTATTTAATCCACAGCCTGAAACATAAAGTTATTTAATCCACAGCCTGAAACAACTGTATCCACTGAGCAGAAAATAAAAGTCCATAGTAAATTAAATTTAACTTGTATCAGATGAATGTGACACACCAAACTAACTTTTATCCACTATTGTGATACATTTCTCACATCCACTATATTGATAAGCTTTTAACATCCACTAATGTGATAAGCCTCTTACACAGATGCAAGGAAGTTTGGAACAAAGTGATGAGTGATCAAAGTCCACTTTTTGACCCCATGAACTAGTTTCACAGCTCATGCCATGCTGATGTTATCCACGGTGCTAGACAGGGTTAAAATATGGGAGAACACATCTTGTTTTATATTGTTCTCGCTCTCTCTTCCTCATATACACAAAACAACACAAAAAAGGTGTTTAAAAATAATACTAAGACAAGTGACCATTAACTGTGTTGCCATGGTTACTGGTCTTTGTTAAGACTGACTGGACTTACCATCACACTTGAGTCCCTGTTTGACCAGTCCAAAGAGCATCTCCCCACAGAAGTCGCAGAAGTGTGGGGACTTGTACGAGTGGACAAACAGCAGGTGGGGGCGGATCTGCAGCTCCTCCATAGTGGCTTGCTCTGGGGTAGACAAGAAACTTGGGGTGAGTACTTCATGGGGGGTGTTGGTGAGTACTGCATGGGGGGTGTTGGTGAGTACTTCATGGGAGGGTGTTGGTGAGTACTTCATGGGAGGTGTTGGTGAGTACTTCATGGGGGTGTTGGTGAGTACTTCATGGGGGGTGTTGGTGAGTACTTCATGGGGGTGTTGGTGAGTACTTCATGGGGGGTGTTGGTGAGTACTTCATGGGGGGGGTGTTGGTGAGTACTTCATGGGGGTGTTGGTGAGTGCTTCATGGGGGTGTTGGTGAGTACTTCATGAGGGGTGTTGGTGGGGACTTCATGGGGGTGTCGGTGAGTACTTCAGGGGGGGGGTGTTGGTGAGTACTTCATGGGAGGTGTTGGTGAGTACTTCATGGGAGGTGTTGGTGAGTACTGCATGGGAGGTGTTGGTGAGTACTTCATGGGAGGTGTTGGTGGGTACTTCATGGGAGGTGTCAGTGAGTACTTCAGGGGGGGAGTGTTGGTGAGTACTTCATGGGAGGTGTTGGTGAGTACTTCATGGGAGGTGTTGGTGAGTACTGCATGGGAGGTGTTGGTGAGTACTTCATGGGAGGGTGTTAGTGAGTACTTCATGGGAGGGTGTCGGTGAGTACTTCATGGGATGGTGTCAGTGAGTACTTCAGGGGGGGGGGGGTGTTGGTGAGTACTTCATGGGAGGTGTTGGCGAGTACTTCATGGGAGGTGTTGGTGAGTACTTCATGGGAGGTGTTGGTGAGTACTTCATGGGGGGTGTTAGTGAGTACTTCATGGGAGGGTGTTGGTGAGTATTTCATGGGAGGGTGTCGGTGAGTACTTCATGGGAGGGTGTCAGTGGGTACTTCATGGGAGGGTGTCAGTGAGTACTTCATGGAAGGGTGTCAGTGAGTACTTCATGGGAGGGTGTTGGTGAGTACTTTATGATATTAAGGAGTACTTCATGGGAGGGTGTTGGTGAGTTCTTCATAGGAGGGTATAAGTGAGTACTTCATGGGATATTTAGAATGTCACTGGGTTCTTTAAAGCATGTAGTACCTAATACTTCACGAAATATTTCAGTATATAGAACGGTTATAGGTGGATTACCTATAGTAAAATAGTACTATTTTAATTTTAAAAACTAATGTTGAAGATTTTTTGGTATACATTGTGTTTTAAGGGGGTGATTCCTAGAAATGTTATATAACATTATATAAGATGGTGAGTGGAAATTGTGACATTTTAGTTACATCAAATCTGCGCACGCTCCCTCAACAATAAAATCAGTTTAACGCATAAGAAAAATTGAGCTTAAATATAAACATTGGAAATCACACTTGGAAAGCTTCTAAATCTAAGCCGCTTATCATGTCAAAAATTTTGAAATTTCTGTTCTTCAATGTATCTAAAACGTATTTAAGACACCCGAAATTCCGACTGGGCTGTCCTATATTTACACACCGCCATTTTCATGTCTACATACCACTAACCTGTCGTCTAGACATCGCCCCCCCCCCCCTCTAGTTTTACCAAGTAGTTAACTGTTTCAGCGCCCAGGGCCGACTCTCTACTCCACCACTCCTGTAGACAAATTTATTGAGGCGGACTTCTAATTAAGCCGCCTAAACTATTTTTATATAGTAAACGAAATATGCCGCCCGGGGGGGGGGGGGGGGGGGTGACCGCCCCACCCAGCAGCGCCAACACTAGCATCCTACCATCGTCCTCATCCACATCCATCGGCTCATCCTCGGCGAGGCTTCGTTGTTTAATTTTTAACTGCTGCAACTGTTGGCTACACAGCTGAAGACTTTCACTCAGGGTATCCATGAGGTGTGGGGGTTTTAAATCGTCATTCAGGCTGGCATCGGTTCTATTCGTGTGCATGAAATCTTAATCACACACTTGTGTATCGATTTGTTTTAAAACTCTGGGATCTGGTAGGTTTAGACGGGATTAGGGGTCAGCACATGGGATCTGGTAGGTATAGATGGGATTAGGGGTCAGCACATGAGATCTGGTAGGTATAGATGGGATTAGGGGTCAGCACATGGGATCTGGTAGGTATAGATGGGATTAGGGGTCAGCACATGAGATCTGGTAGGTATAGATGGGATTAGGGGTCAGCACATGGGATCTGGTAGGTATAGATGGGATTAGGGGTCAGCACATGGGATCTGGTAGGTATAGATGGGATTAGGGGTCAGCACATGGGATCTGGTAGGTATAGATGGGATTAGGGGTCAGCACATGGGATCTGGTAGGTATAGATGGGATTAGGGGTCAGCACATGGGATCTGGTAGGTATAGATGGGATTAGGGGTCAGCACATGGGATCTGATAGGTATAGATGGGAGTAGGGGTCAGCACATGGGATCTGGTAGGTAGAGATGGGATTAGGGGTCAGCACATGGGATCTGATAGGTAGAGATGGGATTAGGGGTCAGCACATGGGATCTGGTAGGTAGAGATGGGATTAGGGGTCAGCACATGGGATCTGGTAGGTAGAGATGGGATTAGGGGTCAGCACATGGGATCTGGTAGGTAGAGATGGGATTAGGGGTCAGCACATGGGATCTGGTAGGTATAGATGGGAGTAGGGGTCAGCACATGGGATCTGGTAGGTATAGACGGATGGGGTCAGGTGAAGAACCCCTTACCCAAACACTGAACCAAATAAACTCCCCCCCCCCCACCCTACAGCGTGAAACCACAGAGACGAGTGGCGTGTGTGGAGGGGTGAGACAGAGGCGTGTGTGGAGGGGTGAGACAGAGACGAGTGGCGTGTGTGGAGGGGTGAGACAGAGGCGTGTGTGGAGGGGTGAGACAGAGACGAGTGGCGTGTGTGGAGGGGTGAGACAGAGGCGTGTGTGGAGGGGTGAGACAGAGACGAGTGGCGTGTGTGGAGGGGTGAGACAGAGGCGTGTGTGGAGGGGTGAGACAGAGACGAGTGGCGTGTGTGGAGGGGTGAGACAGAGGCGTGTGTGGAGGGGTGAGACAGAGACGAGTGGCGTGTGTGGAGGGGTGAGACAGAGGCGTGTGTGGAGGGGTGAGACAGAGACGAGTGGCGTGTGTGGAGGGGTGAGACAGAGACGAGTGGCGTGTGTGGAGGGGTGAGACTGGGAAATGTCACCTCTCTGTCAGATGTAGAACACGAGAAAGACGGTGGCCAGTGACAGACTAATTAAGGTCCTAGTTGCGGTAATGAGACAAGAGAGTACCCAGACTGTCTAAAACTTTCAAGACGCAACCATTTCAACCTTCCCCAGCGGTCTAAGTCGGGATTAGTGTAATGGATAGAAGATAGAATGTACTAAAACTCTAAAAACACCCACAGATAGCTAAACCATGTCAACACAACAGCATATACAAGCAGCCGTTCTTAGAGTCCCAAGTCTGATCTGGCACAAATTTCAGACACAAAGCAGGTATTTTCTAAAACCTATTGTAAAAACTATCGGACAAAACGAAACAAAAGAATAACAAAAGAAAGATGGCGAAGTAGATTTCTGCACAAAACACTGGCTTACAAATAGCAGCTCAAAACTGAATAACAACAAACTAGATATGGGTTTAAAAAGTCGGGTAACCAAGCACTAAGCCATTCGATGTTGTGTAGTATTTAGTAAGTCCAACTGTCTTAAAGACAAGGATTCCAACACGAATAGCAACAGGTATCCTAACACTCCTACACTAGGATCTCAACAGATATCCGGCACTGTTTATTATCCTGTCCGGCACTGTTTATTATCATGTCCGGCACTGTTTATTATCCTGTCCGGCACTGTTTATTATCCTGTCCGGCACTGTTGATTATCCTGCCAGTCCACGAGAACAGACACAACAAACATGGTCCTGGTGCTGTCATCACGACTGGTGGGACTATCATGTGACCAAAACATGTGCCATGCCAGGTGTTTGGTGGGATCAGGGGCGGCGGTTCCATTGTCTGCAGGGGTTCAAGGCTGATCAATTGGCGCACAGGTTAGTTTAGGGGCGGCGGTTCGATTGTTTGCAGGGGTTCAAGGCTGATCAATTGGCGCACAGGTTAGTTTAGGGGCGGCGGTTCGATTGTTTGCAGGGGTTCAAGGCTGATCAATTGGCGCACAGGTTAGTTTAGGGGCGGCGGTTCGATTGTTTGCAGGGGTTCAAGGCTGATCAATTGGCGCACAGGTTAGTTCAGGGGCGGCGGTTCGATTGTTTGCAGGGGTTCAAGGCTGATCAATTGGCGCACAGGTTAGTTTAGGGGCGGCGGTTCCATTGTCTGCAGGGGTTCAAGGCTGATCAATTGGCGCACAGGTTAGTTTAGGGGCGGCGGTTCGATAGTTTTCAAGGACTGTGTTCAAGGCTGATCAATTAGCGCACAGGTTAGTTAAATGATGTTACAGGTCATTTAAGATTTTAAAAAAGATGGTTGAGTAGAATGGTTTGAAGGTTTAACTTCTTATTCGTTCTTAATTTTAGTGTTGGAAGGGAACCCCATCCAACACAATTAAGTATACGTGTCAACTAGTTATGCGCCATTGAGGCCATTGACTCCGATTTCAGCCTGCTTTTCTTTTTGGATTAGCTTCCATAGCCTTTGTCCAACCAAGAACAAACAACAAGGCAGCAGTTGTTTAATTTTGGAGTTGTCTCTCCTAGAAGAGTGGCTGTCCCCAGCTAACGAGCCTCATCTGCCGAGGGTTCGAACTCGAGACTTTTCCTTGAGCTGTACCGACTAGACCACGCCGACCCCTAAGGTTTAACTAATTAGAGCGAGCAACATCACCAGCAACTCTGACATTCGACTGTACGCGACCCAACCATACAATCTTTATTCTCTTTAAAATACGTAGCAGAACAAGAAAAATACGCCACTGTGTGAAATCGTGTAACTGCTGTTAAAGCTTATCACAAGCTTGAGCGGTTGAGTTCATTGGGTCGCGTGGACCTCTCGATGACGTAATATCTTTCTGTTATTTGTTATACACGTGGGGTGAGCTAAAAAACGGTCACTGGTCAATCCATATTATATAACTCAAACCTAATTAATTATAGAACAACTTTTAACATTGAGCCTCGATATGAACTAGCTCGAATCAAGCGAGACAACTATTGGGGATGGCCGAAATGATACTGCTACACAAAAAATAAGCATACGTACAAAACAACAACATCACCTAGAACAACAGAAAGTAAAAAAATCAAGCGGGAGTGATCTTCCCTAACCTTTCTCGAATACTCTTACTAACACAAAAATATAATATAATATAGTAGAAAAAAGCCTTGCGCACCAAGTGAACAGCAAATAATGTTTGTATAATAATGCGGAACATAAGCACCTTAAAAATTCATATGCGTTTTTTGAGAAATCGGAAATAGCGTTGAGTACTACTTCTTGTCACCGGAAATTAATAAAAATTTGACAGAAGACAGAGAATTAGATCTTTTACTTATTTGTGAATTTCATCTATCTACCTGAAACAGTACTCAAGTTAAATACTTTTAAAAAACGGAAAGTAGATTAAATTCCAATTCCGGTTACCGGAATCGCTGAAAAGTTGATACAAACTACCAATTCGATGAAATACCTATATATGACATTTTATCAACCTAACTGTAACGGTACTCAAGTTATCGTGTTCACAGACACAGACAGATACACAGAGACACAGATACACGCATATACACAAACGGACAAAATTGGATTGTCCAGTTTTTCCGATTGGATGACGCGTAAAACGTAAAATGCCGAGATTTCGATAAATCAGTATTTAGAATTTTTGCCCGATAAAAATAAGTCCCCTATACTCCGTATATTATGAAGTACTGAGGTGTAAAACGATGAAAACCGTCAACATTTCATGTGATTTTTGTGCACATTACAACACTTCCTCTTTATTCTGTCTACGAGAAAGTAAAAAATCAAATAATCAATGACGTGATCAAATTAAAAACCCCACCAATACCATCTGACGGCAGCTGGGAGATGGACTCTTTAATGGACAGGTCAACAGGGCTGACGTCACGCACATCTATAGATAGACACCACCAATCAGGTTTCTTTTGGTCTAGTTAGTTTTAATAGCACTAGTCTTGTTTAGCTACATCTAGTCTAGTTTAGTTTCAATAGCACTAGTCTTGTTTAGCTAGATCTAGATCTAGTTTAGTTTCAATAGCACTAGTCTAGTTTAGAAAGTTGGCGTATTAGAATGATTTTAATCGAGATTTTAAAAATACATATTTAAAGCGAATGAGATCCAATTTTAGGCCTTCTCGATCTTACTAAGATTTCATTTTTTTTACTTTACTTTCTCGTATATACGAAGTATAGAGAAAGTCTTGTAATCACTGATACGGAAAAACATAATTTTGCAATCTTGTCCGTATGTCTGTGTGTCTGTCTGTCTGTCCGTGTGTAAACACGATAACTTGAGTACCGTTAGAGCTAGTTTGATGAAATTTCATATATAAGTATTTTATCAAAATCGTAGATCCGTATCAACTTTTGAGCGATTTCCGATTACCGGAAGTGGTACTTTTTCTTCTTTGAATTTTTCAAAAGCCTATAACTTGAGTACTATTTCAGATAGATAAATGAAATTTCACATGTAAGTAAAAGATCTAATTCTCTACCTTCTGTTAAATTTTGAGTACTTTCCGTTGACCGGAAGCACTAATTTACGCTACTTCCGATTTCTCAAAAAACTAATGTAAATTTTTAAAGTACTAATAATATTGCGCACTATTATGCACTTTTTTATTTAGCGTTCACTCGGTGTGCAATTCTTTTGTCTACGAGATTTTATTCTATTTTTAAAACTTTAAGTATTTAAAATGGATTAAAATTCATGTCTATATCCCGAGTTCCCATCCCCTGTTTTTTTTATATAAGAATATTCGAGAAAGTTTAGGGGAGATCACTCCCGGTTTATTTAAAAAGAATTAATAGTTAAAAATAGAATGTCCAGAAGATTTGACCAAGTCTGCGTGTTGCTGGATAACCAACTTAATAGGCCTGACATGAAGCAATGGATGGTAGCAGGCGGTCAGGGTAGATAAACTAGAGCTAACTAAACAATTGGCACCAATAAAGTACCATGATCAAATAAGAGGTCGGGACACATCGTGTGTGTTAGGCCACACATCGTGTGTGTTAGGCCACACATCGTGTGTGTTAGGCCACACATCGTGTGTGTTAGAGCACACATCGTGTGTGTTAGAGCACACATCGTGTGTGTTAGAGCACACATCGTGTGTGTTAGAGCACACATCGTGTGTGTTAGGCCACACATCGTGTGTGTTAGGCCACACATCGTGTGTGTTAGAGCACACATCGTGTGTGTTAGACCACACATCGTGTGTGTTAGAGCACACATCGTGTGTGTTAGGCCACACATCGTGTGTGTTAGGCCACACATCGTGTGTGTTAGGCCACACATCGTGTGTGTTAGAGCACACATCGTGTGTGTTAGAGCACACATCGTGTGTGTTAGAGCACACATCGTGTGTGTTAGACCACACATCGTGTGTGTTAGAGCACACATCGTGTGTGTTAGACCACACATCGTGTGTGTTAGAGCACACATCGTGTGTGTTAGACCACACATCGTGTGTGTTAGGCCATACATCGTGTGTGTTAGGCCACACATCGTGTGTGTTAGAGCACACATCGTGTGTGTTAGACCACACATCGTGTGTGTTAGACCACACATCGTGTGTGTTAGAGCACACATCGTGTGTGTTAGACCACACATCGTGTGTGTTAGAGCACACATCGTGTGTGTTAGACCACACATCGTGTGTGTTAGGCCACACATCGTGTGTGTTAGACCACACATCGTGTGTGTTAGAGCACACATCGTGTGTGTTAGACCACACATCGTGTGTGTTAGACCACACATCGTGTGTGTTAGACCACACATCGTGTGTGTTAGGCCACACATCGTGTGTGTTAGACCACACATCGTGTGTGTTAGACCACACATCGTGTATGTTAGATCACACATCGTGTGTTACACTCACAAGTCCAGTTAAAACACATCGTGTGTGTTACACTCAGCTAATCAATACAAACAGTAGCAGCTGTTGGCCAATTGGAGGTCATTTACCTTTTTCTAGGATAGCTGGCCACATAGCACACTGGCCACACTTCCCAATTACAGATGGCCCCATACTGGCCACACTTCCCAATTACAGATGGCCCCCATACTGGCCACATTTCCAAATTACAGATGGCCCCCATACTGACCACATTTCCCAATTACAGATGGCCACATATCACACTGGCCACATTTCCCAATTACAGATGGCCCCCATACTGGCCACATTTCCCAATTACAGATGGCCCCATACTGGCCACACTTCCCAATTACAGATGGCCCCCATACTGGCCACATTTCCCAATTACAGATGGCCCCATATCACTCTGGCCACACCTCACCCAGGCGCGATGTAAACAGGTCAGCCAGCGAGAGAGAGCAGCCCAGGTCGACGTGTGAGCAGTTACAGAAACTGATATGGGCGAGTCTGTTGTCAAACATGAGATTAGAACCAGGGACTAAGACATCGCAGACAGCAGCTAATGACAGCCGCAGACACCCTCCCCACCCTCCCTGGACAGCTTAAGACAACCTCCCCACCCTCTTGTATAAACTACACCAGTGAATGTAGACTTAA